TTCTTCCGGCCTCTTTCGCTTTATGCATTCCCGCTCACATTCGCAATCCCCCAAGAGGTCATAATCACGTTATGTGCACAAACACTCTGCTGATTTCACTCGCGCCCTCCTAACTCCTTACCTCCCCGTAGCCTCGATTCTTTTGACATGGTCCAGAATCCTAGATTGTTTTCGAACCAGGGCAAGCCATTATCATTGCAATTCTTCTGCTAAAGTAAAGGGTTTGTGGGGTAACAGCTGCCTCAGTTTGTTGTATCCTTGTACTTAGTTTGCCGTTGAACGCATTGTCTTTGGCCTTTTACTACTTCCGATACACGTTTATGCAGAACACACACCGAATCGCAAAATATCTCAGTCTGGAATATCACCAGCCGGCTTCAAACTTCACACCAAACCCTCCAAACGAAACGTTGGAGGGTGCCACAGATTAAGACCTTCAGATTTTCTTTCCCTCCGTTGTTTCTGTGTTTCTGCGACAGTTTTCCAGTCTTTAGTGGCTTTTATCAAGTCCATGTGCTTCACTGTACTCAAACACTCTCTAGGGATCAAGCAACTAGACGAAGGGCAACGCGATTGTCGAAAAGAATAGATCTTACTTGACAAAAACATTAGACCATTGGGCAAAGATAAAACAGGCCACGGGGGAAATCTATTTCAAGGAGAGCGACAAAAACTGGGACCATACCTCAGATACCAATACTGAACTTCGGCGAGCAAACCAGGCCACTAACCAGTTGGACCAAGAGGTAGAGGCGTAAAAGTGGGACGAGTTATGGCTCCACATTGCCTTGTTTTAAAGAGACAACTGTGATTGTTGCCGGGAAAACTAACTTTACGATTTCCTTATCAGCATGCTAGTGCTGACAGTATGTGGCGATCAGACAACTGTATTAAAAATGAATCTAAACTGCTGCAGTTTTTACACCCCCATCGACACAATTTAGATAATTTGAGGCCCTACATTCTGTGTGCATTTTTTCAAAGAGCCAATTCCCGAGCTGAGAGGGAGACAACATCGCAGCGGAAAGACCGAGATTTCGATTTTTAAAAATATCTCACCACTTGGGCATCAAACTCGGGTCTCCCGCGTGCGGCCACCAAGCATCTAACTACTACATCACAGACGCCGGTACTACCATGTGCTCACATGAAAAAGAACCCCTTCAACATCAAAACGAGACCCCTGAACAGCTTCATCTTTGTAGTGAGCAGGCCTGACAAAGCAAAAGAATGGTCGTCAAAAATACGCGTTAGGACTGTACCCCGGTAGCAAACCCGCTCGTGCTCGCAAGCCCCTAGTTC